AGTCATTTGAGGTTTTTAGTGACATTTATTTATCCTGCATTTAGATTATTTTGTACTGCATTTAGTACTTGTGTTTTTGAAAAAGAAAGCAACTACGCTGGTGACATGACCCTAATGTAAATATAAAGATGGTGACATGGCATTTTAGAAATATATATCATGTAACAAAATTGAAGTTCAACCAACACCAATGCCTTAAAGGTAAAGGGTAGGTCATATTTAGAAAAACACACTACATGACAAAGTTACAATTCATACAACGCCTTATACCATATCGACACATAAAACAAAAAGCACTACCTCAATTTCATATTATATGCAACGATTAGACTTTATCAATACGACATTACACATGACAAAGTTACCCTTTATCAAATCGTTGCAAATAATATAAAGCAGATGTAGTCGATCACGATTTAGCACCCAAGGCAAGTAGGCCTAAGAGAAGAGATAGGAAGGTGCAACGCAAGAAAAAGAGAGCCGCATGCTGAAAATCAGAAGTTGGCGTAGAGACGCATACCCCATAGGGTTGAGCAAAACTATCTGAAGATCCGAAAATCCGATGATCCGATCCGCATCCGATTCGAAAATTATGGATATCCGATCCGGATTTTTCGGATATCGGATTGGATATCGGATATCCAATCCGATATTCGAAAAATCACTTGTTCTCCCAAATTTGGATGAAGAAACAAATGGCCAAGCCTAAAGGTAATCTGACCTAAACTCCCTATCAGTAGTCCGCAGTCCTCCGCACTATATATATATATATATAAAAAAAAAAAAAAAAAAAAAAATATATATAATATATATATATATATATATATTACATTCACCTTCTCCCAAACTCACCAATCCTCCCAATCTACAATCGTGTTCTTCAACTAGGCTAGGGTTTCTACTCGCCGCTCTCTCAGAGTCTCAGTAGCTCATCTCTTTTTCACTCTCAGTCAACAATCAATCTGATGAGAAGATGCAGTGACGAGAAAGATTACAAAATCATTTGATAATCTCTTGTTAGTTTTACATGATATCTCATCTAATCTATGATTCGTATTCCATTTCCCTGAGCATCTCTCTCATTTTCTTCCTGGGTAGTGTTTCGGGGTTCGTGGAGGGGTGGGGTGGGTGTTTCGGGGCTGGTGGAGGGCTAAGGTGGGGGTATCAGGCTGGTGGTGGGGTGGGTAGCGGTGGGGTTTGGTTCGATCGGGGGTTGGACCACAGCTGCTCGGAGGGGTTGAGGTTAGTGTGTGGTAGAGTTGTGGTTGGTGCGGTGGGGTTAGTTCGGGGTGGGATAGGATTTTAGGTTGGGTATAAGATGGTAATAAGGTGGTGGTTATGGAGGGTGGTGGCCATGGATTTGAAGCCATTAAAGGACAGTAAGATGAGGGGAGGGAAGAGGAGAGGAAAAGAGAGAAAAGGCTTCTTTTTTTTTTTTTAATTTTTTATACAGATTCCCACTGAGATTTGTTCACAGATTTTTCTGTGAATTAATTGATTATAACATCTTTCCTGATACATTATGCTCTTTTACGAATTTTTTTTGCAAACAACTAAAATATACATATGAATTTGCCTTTTAAAAAAATAATTTTGCCTTTAAGAGCTTAATTTAGTATAAAATGATTAATATTAAATTATTAATAAAAAAAATCCGATACTGGATATCCGAAATATCCGATCCAAAAATTTCGGATTGGATATCCGGATATCAGATATCCTAATTTTCGGATACGGATATTCGATCCGTGCTTACCCCTAAACACAACACATTTAGGTTCTTTATTAAATAAATTAAAATTAAAAATAATAAAAAAAAAAAAAGTTGGAATATAGAGATTAGGGCTGAGCAAAACTATTTGATAATCCGAAAATTCGAAATTCTGATCCGCATCTGATCCGAAAATTTAGGATATCCGATCTTAAAATTTCGGATATCGGAAATTTCGATTTCAGATATCCGAATATCCGAAAAAAGTCGAATATCGGATCTTCGAAATCCGAAGAAATTAAAACACTTTTTTACAAAAAAAGAAAAAAGAAAAATTATTTTACAAAAATTTCGAAATTCGGATAACCCACCGCCTCTTTCTCTTTCTCCTCTATTTTCTCCCTCCTCCCTCCTTCCTCCTCTGTCCTCTCTGAGTCTCTGGCTCTATCATCTCAGATGATCTCCCTCCTCCCTCATCTCAGATGATCTCCCTCCTCCCTCATCTCAGATGATCTCCCTCCTCTCTCATCTCAGATCTCCTCATCTCCCTCTTCGTCTTCTGCAATTTTCGAGCTTTCTCTCTCCTCTCCCTGTAACAATTTTAAGAAGAGAAGCTTGATAAATAGAGAAGAAGAGCATAGATAGAAGAAAAAGAAGAAGAACAAGAAGAAGACAAAGGAAGAAGAAAGAACAAAGCAAAGAAAACTTTTTTTTTTAGTAATCCGTAAATTAGGGTTCTCTAGTGATTAGGGTTTTTCAATTGGGGGTTAAATTAAAGCAATTTCAGTCAATTAATAAGGGTATTTTGCTCGAATTATCATTTTAAAAACTGGGTAAGTTTCAATTTGTAAAAATATATGGTCTTTTTGAGATTTTTTCATTCAAATTTCATTTTTTGGTGCTGTGAATCATAAAGCATCATAAAGAAATTGGTGGTGTTGGTGGGTGAGACTGGAAGTGGGAATCGAAGGGGATTCGGGAAGGGAGAGGGTGGTTTTCGGGGCTGGGGTGGGAATTGAAGGGTGATTGGGGGGAGGAGGGGTTGATTTCGCTGAGTATGTGGTGGGGAAGGGGGGATTCCAGTGGTGGGGGATGAGGAGAAGGGCTGCCAGAGGGTGGGGGATGGGAAGGGGGCTGTCTAAAAATAGGGAAAAGGTGGTGGTGGACTGGTGGTGGGGTTATCGTGGGTGGGGATGGGATGGGCAGATGGGCTATCCTTGTTTGGACAAAATGCATTGGATTAGCCATCCTTGTTATGATTCATTACAAAGTTTTTATCCATAATTTCTTTCAATTTTTATCGTGAAACATTTTCTTATACCACGAGGCTTCGGCCTGTTCAAGTATCTTGGATTTTGATTTAAAATGCATGCATTCATTAGGAATTTTTAACACAAAACAGTCTTAATACAAATCACTTATATGAAAAATCCTTCTAATCAAAAGAGTTTTAGAGAAAAAAATTAAAATCAAACTACTCAATCTGCTACTATTGGGCTAGTTTTTTTTTTTTTTAATTTTTTTTTTAAAATTTTTGGACATATTATTAGATGGGACTATCCGATCGGATATCCGGATATTAGAAAATTTCGGATCGGATACGAATATCAAATATCTGATTTTTCGGATACGGATATCCGATCCGAAAACCAATTTATCCGATCCGTGCTTCTAGATGGACGCCTTGTTTGATTTAATCTGCGAGATCCTCGTGCTCTCTTCACTCTTCAAGTCCTATAAATCTCTGCCTTTGCCACCCCCTCTTTCTTCCCATTAATTCTTTTTCTCTGCTCTTCAAATACTTTGATTTCCTCTCTTTCTTAAGTAAGTAATTCCATTTATAGTTTTACTTCATCACATTTTCAATCAAATCTTCTTGTTTTTCACGCTCTTTTAATCTGTGATTTCTGGAGTCAATACCGTAGTTCATTGACTTTTTTGTTAGGATGATTAAATGGGTCATGTTTCATTTCTCAATTTGCATGAAATAATGTTAAATTTATGATCTTTTTATTTGTCATCAAATTTATGTGAATTTGGGTGGTTGTTGTAGAATTTTCTGCTGTTTTTTGGGGTCATTCATAAAATATGGTTGAATTTTGTAGTGTTTTGTTTCTTGTCATTGTGTCAAATTTGGGAATATGACTAATGATTTGTGTTTTTGCTTATGTTGTTATTCGTCGACTTGAATTATGACTCCTGCACCAGATTCCAAGTCAATCAATCCCAAAGGTTAAATCTTTACTTCTATTGATTTGCATTGTTTTGTTCTTTTTTGTTTTCGATGTAAAGGACAGTGAAGTTGACGAGATTCGGTATCGGGTCTTGGGTATCACCCCTAAGACGTTACTACCTAAGTTAATTTTTAGATGAAATACATCCATGATTGGCTTGCATTATGGGTCTTAAATGAATTGTTGTTCTTGCATATTTTAGTTTGTGAAGTGATTTATACTGGTTTTTGAAGTGGCCTGGTTTAGTGATTTATACTGGTATTTTGCTTGGTGTGACTTTGAAGAAGCTTGATGATCATCTTATAATCTTGCACACACTAGAGTGTACCCGTGCAAATGCAAGAGATGCTATATTATATGAAATGATATGAGATTTGTTAATTTATTTTATTCCTAGCATTTCAAATGTGGGAAATCGATTTTGATATAGAATTAGACCTTTTTTTGTAAGGAATTATTGGTTTTTAGCATAATTATTGATTATTATTGATTTTAGAATAATTAGATCCCATTTTTTTAGAATAATAATAATACTTGGTTTTAAAATAATGCAAGGAATTATTGATTTTGGAATTATTAACCCCCCCCCCTTTTAAGGATAATACGAAGTAATAATTATTGATTATTAATGGTTTTAGAATTATGCAAGGAATTATTGATTTTAGAATAATTAGACCCCTTTTTTCCCTAAGGAATTATTGATTTTTGAGGAAATTGATTTTGATATAGAATTTGATGTAGTAATGAATGATTTAAAATGTTGGAAGCTTATTTTTTAAAGGTCGATAGTGGAAGCTATGGAAGAAATTATTCGGCTTTTTTTGTTGTGTTTAGAAATCTGAAGCTTATATTGATAACAAAAGATCCTTCTAGTCTTTCATGAGTTATAGATTCTTGAGATTTGAGATCTATATTGTCCATACAATTGTCTTGTTTTTCTTTATGCAGATGTCTGCATTGTTGGTATTGCACGTACACCCATGGGTGGTTTCCTTGGTACACTTTCATCCTTGACGGCCACTAAGCTTGGATTCGTTGCTATTGAGGGTAAGATTATGGCTATTTGGATAGTCTTATATTATACTAGTCTTTTGCTGTTTTACCTTTTTTAACAAATAAATTAATAAATAAAATGACTGATTTTCACTTGCAAAAAATGTAGGTGCATTAAAAAGGGCAAATATCGATCCATCCCTTGTACAAGAAGTGATTTTCGGAAATGTTCTTAGTGCAAATTTGGGTCAGGCTCCTGCAAGGCAAGCAGCATTAGGGGCAGGAATACCAAATACGGTGGTATGTACCACGGTCAATAAAGTTTGTGCATCAGGGATGAAAGGTATAGTGTGCACTATCATATACCATTAAACAATCTTTGCATTTAATACGAGTTTGAAAACATATTTGCCCGTTTTCTTTGTTTTCTTTGTTTACAGCTGTGATGCTTGCGGCACAAAGTATCCAATTGGGTCTCAATGACGTTGTTGTGGCAGGAGGCATGGAAAGCATGTCAAATGCCCTTAAATACATAGCTGAAGCCAGGTTGGTGCTACATTCTTATTAATTCTAGTCTTTGTTATCCAATTAGTTAATTGGTTTACTAACTTCATAAAGTTCCCTTAGCCCTTCCTATCAATATAAATATATACCACATAATGATATTATTAATAAATAAACGATGGAAGTGAATTTATTAGGCAAATAACCAAAACCATGAATAGAAGGGCATTGTTGTATTATTGTCTAGACCGACCAATTGAATGGGGGCATAAGTTGTATTCTTTGTATCTCATCTTTAAGTTTCTGTCTATTCTTGATTTTAAGTAATAATAAGCTGAATGTTGATTCCGAAAATGGAATTAGATCCATTGCATATTGCAATTAACATGAATGGTGAGTGCAAGTCCATTAGTTGGATTATTAAACAGTTGGTTTTGTGTTACTATCATTGACAGGTGAAAAGTGATGGTTTTCAACGTCAAATTCCATCATCTTGTATTAGAATTTTTAAGAGTGGCAGCTAATCATTAATTTGTAGGGGCCTAATTGCTCATCTTTGCCTTTAATACTTTTCATAAATTTTGTTTATCACAAAGGTATAAAAAATGAAATGCAATACTCATTAGATCTTGCTAACAAACGCCTCCGGGACGTTAAATAACCCTTTAAAATAGTTCCTAAAATGGTACGGAGTATTAATTTGAAAATACATGCCAAAATCACCCAGTGACTGTTAGGTTTACAGTGATTTCAAACAAGAAATTAAAACACTTAAATTTGTGTGGGAACAAAACCTAAAAATAAATGATTACAATGTAATTGTAAATATCAAATACAACACAATGTATTTCAATAAAGTATTATCAAAGTCTATGAAATTACAGAAATTTATAAAGACTACACTAGTGTGAAGTTGATCAAACTTGCCTTTCCTCCAAGCCAAGAACAACGAACATGAACATGAGAATTCCAATGTCCCGTAAGACTAGATCCTTGATACACTGTCAAAGGCGTGTGAACACTTTCCTAAAGAGGTTTATTTCCCCCACACGGTACTTGGGTTAAACCGGAAATCCTCTTTGAGATACAATTGACAACAATTTCGTTCTTAGTACTAGAATCGGAATCAAGATGACAAATACACCAAAATTGGAATAATTGAAAGAGTTTCCTCAAAAAAGTTTGCAATAAATTTGAGAGAAAAGTGTGGAAAATTCTGCTTAGGGAGATGAAGAATATGTTCTGTATTTTCCTTTCACGAAATAAGCCTTTTAATAAAAGACTCAACCATAAGGAAAAACCGCAAAATAGGGAGGAGCGGGCGCAAAACAGCGTGGAGCGGGCGCTCCTCCCAAAAACTACGAGATTTCACAAAAAGGCAGTGAAGGGCGCGGTTTAGGGGCGAACAGCAGCGCGGGCGCGCCAACCAAGACATGCGGGCGCGCCATGCCGCGCGCGCCATCCTCCCCTTTCCAATTTGCCAAATTCCAGAGAGGTACGTGGTTTAGGCGCGCTCTCTGCGCGGCCGCGCTTAACTTGCGCGGGCGCTCCTTCATGGCCGCGATCGCGCAACCATCAACACTCTAAATATTCAACATTGATCAATGTAATTAATGTTTACGGAGTATTTCACGTTAATATTTCTAATTTAATTTATCTTGTCGGTCATTCGTTAGCTTTTGCCATTAATAATAATTATGAACATTAATAATGGACATTAATATATATGTGGACATTATATAAAATGAAAACAACAGGATACAAGGAGATCTAAACAAAAGTTTTGACATGGGCTAGATTGCTTTATATATGTCTATATGAAACCATAAAAATTAATATAAATTAGAAATGGCATAATATCAATTGAGTATATGAAATCATGAAACACTTCTGTGTGACTTTTCAAGTGCATTTGCACATCTAACTAACATCTCAAGAGAGTGCGGCTAACCAAATATAAATAGAGATACAAGATATACTTGATACTAGTACAACACATGTTACAGACTACAAGAAACCAAAACCTAAAAAAAAATAAAAAAAAATCAACATATAGTGATAATTGCCGCCCAAACTTCTACTTTGAACTACCATAATAACAAGAAGGAAAAAAGTTAGGAATGGCAAAAGCACAAAAGTGGGAACTATATGAAGCTGCTCTAATATTGGGGGCAATAGGTATTCATTCACCAACAAAACACTAAACTCTGGATGTCCCAAGCTTGCGCTCGAACAGGCGTTTGAGCATATAGACTTGGAGAACACTCGCCCCAATAAGTGCTGCTGATTCAAAGATTGCCTTATGGATTGCTCTTTTGCTCATTCCTTCGTTAACTGCATCCAAATCAGACAAATTTCAAGTTATATTTCTCATGCTGTTAACAATGTACACAAGAACTACATTTTTTTTAAGTATGTGGGGAGAGAGCAAATCTTAAACATACAGAAACTAAGCTAAATGATAAGGGAGAATTTCGCATTTCAATTTACACCTCGTTCTACAACCAGCAAGAGATAACTTTAACTCTTTTTAAGTTTCACTCCCTAATGCATAAAACTGATTCTTGCCTATCCTTAACAGAGTTTAAAAAGGCAAATTATTAGTTATTTTTCTTGTAAAAAACATGCAATTTAGGATGTTATTTGGTCATATAACTTCCAAGAGAGGGAAGCAAATTCTATGCAAGTGCAAAATGGGGATTACAACAAAAATATCCAATTTCAATTTTATTATGCATAAGCATAGAGAACAACTCTTAGCTAAATTTTACATCAAACAATACATAATCACAAGTTCATGGTATAGTTCACTTAATGTTTAATCAAAATTGGCACGGGACTAAAAACAAGTCTGAAATATATATATATAGCTTACAAGGCCTAAAAGAAGAACTAATCTAATACTGTCTCTCACTAATAATAATAGTAGTCATAGAATAACATTTTCCTGATAATTGCGTATTTTTGGCAAAGGTCTAATTTTAGAACTTTTGATCTAAACCTACTTTTAGTTACTTTAAGGTTCACTTTTGGAATACACAAGAAACAAATTTTTTTTAAATAAAGCATGATTTGAAATAAAAATATGTTCCCAAAGAATGTACTTATTGCTTGGCGATCGGTCTTAGCCTCCAACCTGTGCTATTCAAACTGTATGTTGTAGAGAGCCTCCTTCAATTTATTAATTTGTTCATACACTGGACTCAAATGCTCTCCAAATTGTCACATTGGTCTCATAAGATTTTCCTTAAATGAAACAGTAGAAAAAATTTGTTCAAATAAGGCAATGTATTGAGCTATTACCATCTTTTGCATGATGGTCAACATATCCATAGTGAACGGCAATCACATCAAAATCTATGGTTTCATGATACGGGGACCCATTGGTAAAGCAAAAGTTGTAGACCCCCTTCTTGTGGGCGATAAACTCAAACTTCTCACTAGTTTTGTCACGAGTGTCATGGATTTGTTCACCATCAGGTCCTTTCACCTGGCATCAAGACAATATGCCAATAAAGAGTAAGAGAAAAGTTTGCCAATTAAAAGATAATATTGAATCATTATTAAATTGCACGTATAAAAATAAAAAATCATACAGGGTTTTTTAACTAAAAGCCTTGTAAGGGGGAGTTTGGATTGAAACTACAATTTCGCTTTTGGTTGCAAATCAAAACCGTAGACCGTTTGTATAGAGCATCAAGTATAAGTTCCATGAAACCAAGGGCTTTATTTGTGTTAGAGCGGGGGGCACAAGGCTCATATAGATGTAAATCACACAAGTGGGATAGCAAGTGACACATTATGAAACTACTACCCCGGCTGCATGGGGCATGAGCTGCTATAAGTGTCATCACTCAAAGTTATCCTTGATAACCACACCTCTTTTCTCCTCCAACCAAAACAAAATACATACCTACACTTTGGCATAAAGACGACTGCTTTCTCATCATCCTACTCATATGACTCATTCACCGTTCTTTGAGGTCCCAAATGACACCCAATTTCCAATAGAACTGCTAGTCTTCTGTGCTATAAAATTCATCATTTATGGAATTGCTTCCACCAAGAATGTGACCTCTGGGATTTAGGACCTCATCCTCGATTAGGACAAAGGAATCAATTGTGTATATATATATATATATATATATATAATATCTCAAATAATATGTTGATGTTTGCTATCAGCCCGGGATTTCAACAAGGAAAGAGGTTGATATTGGATTGTCTCGAGGAAATGGTGGAGCTCTCCGACCTACAGACGTGTTACTTTATTCTTGGGATCGAGTTCGTGATGTGTGTTGACTTGAAATGATCTTCTCCTTTGACACAATTCGGGTTGTCTAACTTTGTTCCGAGGTGGGTTGTGACTGGTGCGGCTAATCGAAAGCGGGTCAAGTACGAAACAAGTTGTCGGGCAATTGGTTATGGTATTCTTCCTTTCTCTTTTTCATCTCTGGGGGAACTGGATAAGGATGATGTTGCGTTGATGAAGCGGGTTCAAAAGTTCTCTACGACTCAGGACATTGGGCTCGCGCAGGCTTTGCTATAGCTAGAGGAGTGAAGCCCACATTGTATCTCGGCTTTCCACTAATTTTTTGTAATTTGATTGACTTTAATTTTCTCATAATAATAATAATAATAATAATAATAATAATAATAATAATAATAATAATAATAATTGGCAGATCACTAATGAGTAACCATAATGAGATCGCTGCCCCCAAACTTATGAAGAAATTGGCAGATATATATTTCACGAAGGTCAATGCATCTGCAGATTCCACTTTGTCCTTATCTCCGCATCAGGTTGCCTAGTGGAAGTCCTAGCAGGGGGATCACACTTTTGCCTGGTTGCGAGCGGTCCCAACATTAGGTTTGGGTCAGACTATGAATGGTAAGACTTACCGTTGTGTTCTTTGCTACCAGTTGGGTGTTCCTTTGTTTTCTGTTTTGACACCGTGTTCTGCTTGCTCAAGGGTTTTTGATGGTGATATCTATGGGGATCATGCAGTATCTTGTGCTGGGATGGTGGGTATTAAACATCGGCGTAACGTTGTTCGTGATACCCTTGTTGATATTTGTTTTCGGTTCGGGATTTCTGCAAGAAAGGAGGTTAACGTTGGGTTGAATGGAGGGAACGACGGGGCTCTTTGACCAGCAGATGTGTTGCTTTATTCCTGGGACAAAGGCCTTGATGTATGTGTTGACTTGACGGGGTCTTCTCCTTTAACACAATTTGGGTTGTCTAACTTCGCTCCTGGTCGTGTTGTGTCAGCTGCGGCTCAGCGGAAGCGGGACAAGTATGGGGCGCGTTGCAGGGCTATTGGTTATGGTTTTCTTCCTTTCTCCTTTTCTTCATTGGGGGAATTAGAGAAGGATGTTGTT